AGTGTCCGTCGGGGGGGACTCACTGTGTAGCCGCAGTCGGGGTTGCGTGTGCCTATGCTGGGCGCAGTTCCGAGGTGCTCGTCCCATTTATTTTGAGTGGGATTGGTGTACATCGCACTTCAGGTGGTATATGCAGGACGCATGTTGTTGGGTGTATCGGACCGTTGCATGGTTGGGGGAGTGCACTCCTGGCTGCTGTGTGTGGCTATGTTGGTGCTATGCGCTTCCCCGTTACGTGCGTGACGAGTCTGATTGATAAGTGGATACGCATACATATAATATGGCTTATATGTGGGTGTCATGGTGTCCGGGTACATGCGTATTTTTCTGCAGTGCGATGGGAAGGTCAGGGAACAGAGAGTAGCGAGAGACGAGAAATGGGTTTTTTCTTTGGTGGCCCGGGTGTTTCGCCAAATGGCAATACTAATGTTGATGGGCCTTGTGGAGTTCTCTCTTGGCTTCAGTATGAACAAGCCGGTGTGGTACTATCAGCGGTTGTGAGGGGCAGACAGAGTTTATATGTCTCTGTCTGTTGGGTGGCTGATGTTTATACTGATCGTAAGGAGTAGACCGGGGGCGTGTGTGGTGTTGCCCTGCCTGGTCTCCGCTCTTTTCCCCTCCCCCTTGGCGAGCGAAGGGGGTACGCAAAATAAAAATGAAAAATTTTGAAAGCATCGAGAAAACCTGCAGTACTCACAGGCCAGGGGCACCGCGGACGATACATGACAAATTGGAGGGTGCCGTTGATTGAGCGGATGCCCCCCCCCCTACAACGGCCACTGCCAGAAAAACAGCAAAAAACTCATATGGCGGAGAGGCGATTGTGGTCATCAGGGTCCCCTGAGCATTCCGGAACACACTGGACACCTCACAGCCACCGATATATCCTCCGCTCCTGCGCTCTCTCGAGGCATGGGGCTTATACTTGCTTTAGAATGTGTGGTTGACCACGAGTATTTTTGTTGACCGTTGCCTCGTCTCTCGTTTTTTGAAGGAGAAAACCACATGCGAGACCTACCCCAACTCACAACCAAACAAAACCCAAACCACCCCCACCACATCCACCCACCATCCACCGCAGCATGTCTTCACCTCGCCGCTCTTCCTCGTCGTCCAACGCCTACCCCAGGGCCGCTGCCTCGTCCTCGCAGCGCCGGGGTCAGCAAGTGACGCCTGCCGTCACCCGACGCCAATCGTCCGGCGCGCGGAGGAAAGGCAAGGAGAAGCGTCTGCTGGCCGTGGAGCGCCCAGCAAGAGCAAGGTGAAAGGTGGCCCGCGCTCTGCCCTCAATCCGTCCTCGGCTCGCTACAAGAAGCGAACGGCATCGCGTCTCCGCGTGCCACGTCCACAGTGGAGGTATGTATCAGAAGGAAGAAGAATTTTCACTTTTCGCGGAGATCTTTCGTGTTTTGGTGGGTTGTTTCAAAAAACAAGAAGAGGGGTGATGAGTTTCTTTCAAAAGTGGCGCGGTCCGCCGGTCTGTATCTGGTTTGCATGCGTGCCTACGTATTGGTAGTTGCTGTTGCTCGTTGCAACACCGGTGTAGTCATTTCATTCGCCGCGCAGCGCTCAACCAACGCTTTCATTTTCAAATGCGTACTCGTGTCATGCGTGTGGGCTCAAATTGCTACTGTTTTTCCGTATTTGTTGTCTCTGCATATCGATAGAAATATTAACTCGAATGTAAAACAAGCGACCTCGTGGATGTGGTAATCCAGTTGTTATGTGGTCTTGTTTTTGGCTGTCTCTTTTCTCGAAAGGGACCACTCAAAAAAGGATATGGAAAAACCACAACCCACTTGTTATACACCGTTTTTCATGGCTCACACATGTTGCAAGAAAAGTTGCAGTACTGCAACTTTTCTTGAAAAGTTGCAGTACTGCAACTTTTCTTGCAACATTCCAAATGTACGCTCAGTATGGGAGCAAAAAGTTGCGCAAAAAAAATTGAAACTCTTCCCGGGGAGCAAAAGTTGCAATCTGCCCAAAATGTTTTGCAACTTTTCTCGAGTCGGGAAGGCGCGAAAAATGTTGCACGGTGGGAACTATACCGGTTCGGGGTTGTATTATTTCCGCCGTGATCTGGGGTGACGAGGTCGCAGGGTCCGACAACCCACTACACAACAAACACACGCGCACGCGAGCCCCACTCCGAAGCGCACCACCCGGTGTCACAATGCACAACACATACCCACGTCCGCGAGCTCCACACCGACGCACACCACACCAAACATGGAGAGCACCGACAATCAGTCAGAGACAGTAGTGGCAGCAGCAGCTGCAGCCAGTTCGATCATGATGGGGCTGATCCAAGAAGAAGAGGCATTCGAGGAAGAGTGCGCTGCTGCTGCTGCACTCGAAGAGGAGGAGGAGGAACCCAAGGCAAAGCAGCAACGGCGGTCCTATCCCCGGCCAGAGTACATGAAGTCGCCCTGGGGACAGTGGCTAGGGAAACTCGCAGAGCTGCATGCTTCGGAGGGTGGGCTTCACGAGGACAGCCGAGAGGCACGGCAGTTCGTCGGTGCTTTCCGAGTCCCCTACGAGATGTTCCTCGGCATCAAGGCTGTGGCGCCCGCATTTCCAGCAGCAACACACGCCGTAGCTGGCCGGGAGTGCATTCCCGTGGAATTGAAGGTGCGTTGTGACCCAGTATCTGGATTATTACTTGACGGTAGGACAGCATGCGAATTACTGGTGCTTGCTGTTGTAGTCTACACGACAGCAGTACCAGCAGCTTGTGTAGCGGCTTGAACTCTTCTATTTTCGTCTCTCCTGTGCTGTGCACGTGGTTCAGACGTGTGAACGTAAAGAGAGGATCCTCGCACAGCAGTCGTGTGTCCCACAACATTTTCCAGGACCTGTACCTACTGCTGTACGGCCTCCATGAGTGCAATCCCCTCGTGCGCTTGTCCCTGCAACCCAAATGACACAAGATACCACACCCCCTGGACCGATTTTCAAAGGTCGATTTCTCACCTGCAAAAGGAGTCAGCACCGAAAACGGCGCCGTAGAGCCCTCTCGCCGAGAGCTTTCCGAAAATGCATCGTTTCGTTCATGCATCCTCTTGGCCGTGGCGTAATCAAGCTTTAAAAAACGGTCCAGGAGGTGTGGTATCTTCTGTCATTTACGGTAGTGTTGCCGGGGTGCGAGTACCAGAGTTGTCGATTTCCCCGCTCCGTCGTAGCAGCAGTAGTGCTTTGTTGTATTTTTTTGCGTTGACATGCCCTCTTCTGCTCCTCGCGAAGCACGAAGCAGTCGTACCAAAACATTATTGCAAGGGCTGCGAGCTGTACTACATACTGCCGTACGGAAGGCCGTCTGGCTTGCAATCGGCTCGTGCTGTTGTTCTTTATCGTGCTGCCGGGAATGCGAGTGCCAGACTTGTAATTTCTCCGGTCCGTCGTAGCAGCAGTGCTGTCGTCTTTTTTCTAGCGCTGACATGCCATGGCACACGTGCTGTTCCCGATTTTCGAGTTCAGAACGGCACACAGCAACAAATAGACACCTTATTTTTATCCCGACACATGTCTTTTTTTGCCGCTCAGCCGAACACCCCCTGAAGGTTTTAGCATCGGGAAATTCCTTCCAGGACGTCGCCACCTTCTCTGGGATGAGCGTCGCGACCGCCGAGAAATCATTCCACCACGTCTGCGAGAAGTTTTCGGCGGCGCTCTGGGACACGTGGGTTAAACTCCCGGTTGGAGACGAGCTGAAAAAGGTGGAGCGGGTCTTTCGGAAGAGCGGTTATCCGGGGGCGATAGGTTGTTGGACTGCACTCACTCCAGGTGGCCTGGCGGACCATTTTCGGAGGCTCGCATGAACACCGGCAAGGAGGGTTACCTGACTGTGTTCGTGGAGGCGACATGCGACCACACCGGTGAGTTTTGTTCGGGCATCAGCTCCTCTTGGCTTTCTGTGTGTGTAGACATGTAGACGAATTTCCTACCGCTGAGGGCTCACGAGATTGCAGCATTTCCGATACTGGCGCTCTATTGAGCCTAGAGCCCTTTTCTTGCGTTTTCTCCCAAGCAACCTGTGCCTCCCTTTCGATCCCGACGAAAAGCGGGGAGGAAGGGGGGTAGCGACTGGTGTCTTGCACAGCTGTGTGCAAAACTACACCGCCCGAGAGCAAAGAAAAAATATGGAAGTGCGCTGCTACTGTTGCTCGCATTCTCCATGGAAGGTACCTTGTTTTCGTTTTTTCTTTGCGGAGAAACTCGTGGATCCCTACCGCACCTATACAGCAGTTCAAAAGGAAAAATAAGCTAAACGTAAACAGACCACCTGTTCGAGATATAACCACGGTCGAAGCAGTTTATCGTGTTATACTAGAGCGGACAGAGGGACACTCCGCATCCCACGACCACACCAAGACACGAACTCCTACCGTCATGTGACTCCCAACGCCGTCTGGCAGAGCATATCGCTGAAGGTTGGCTACCACGTGGGAGGAGGAAAGCGAGAGAGAGATGAAGCCGTTTGGTTGTTGTTGTTGCTTGTTTCTAAAATCGAATTTCAAGAGTAATTCGACACTCTTGTCCTCCGGCGCCGTCGCATCTCTATTTCATTAATCCATTAATTCATTCATTGTGCGTCGTTCCTCTCATTCCAAACCTCTACCCGCACACACTTGCCATCGACATTCCACCTACGAGCATAACGGCGACCGCGAAGTGCCCTTGTATTCTTTCAGGATTCCCTGATGGTTCCAGCACTTTTGTGACGACTGGTCATGATCTTTTGCTAGTTTTTGGTAATTAGCGATTTCGATTTCACGGCTAATGGGAGAATCAATAACAACCAACCGCAGGCCGCATCATCGCAGCGACCAAGTCATATCCCGGATCGGAGAACGACAAGACCATCATCCAACGCGACA